TAACTTAGACTTATTATATGACAGAGTTGAATTACATTTGCATATAATAGAGTTGAACTAAGTGGGCGATATTTCTGAATGAAACATGACGAGTAACTTAGACTTATTATATGACAGAGTTGAATTATACTTACATATAATAGAGTTGAGCTAAGTTGGCGATGTTTCTGAATAAAACATAATGAGAAACTTAGACTTATCATATGGCAGAGTTGAATTATACTTGCATATAATAGAGTTAAACTAAATTGGCGATGTTTCTGAATGAAACATGACGAATAACTTAGACTTATTATGTGGCAGAGTCGAATTATACTTGCTTATGATAGAGTTGAACTAAATTGGTGTTGTTTTTGAATGAAACATGATGAATAACTTAGACTTATTATATGACAGAGTTGAATTATACTTACACATAATAGAGTTGAACTAAGTTTGCGATGTTTCTGAATGAAACATGACGAGAAAGTTAGACTTATTATATGGCAGAGTTGAATTATACTTGCATATAATAGAGTTGAACTAAGTTGGCGATATTTCTGAATGAAACATGACGAGTAACTTAGACTTTTTATATAGCAGTAGAATTATACTTGTATATAATAGAGTTGAACTAAATTGAATTCACCTAGACTTGCCATATCGACAAAGTTAAACTCAGAATGAAACTACGTATACTTTAGAGAAACCAAGGTTGAACACCTCGGCTAGTCTTTGTTTGAATCAGACTTCGGCGAAATTGAAGATGCATGCTTAACGTGAGCATAAATGACACTTGGGTTCACATTAGGGGGCAGGAAACAGGAATAAGGAATATGCTTAACACTTGTTGAAATTTTTTACAAGTTGGAGTCAGCCGAGATATCCAGATAAGGGGACACTCGAGTTGTTGGTTACCCGAGATCACCAACCAGTTCGTCAAACCTGGAAATATTAGAAGGCAGTAAGTACAAGTAAGGAAATAATACTTGTTGAATGTTATTTAAAGAATTTTTATAAAACGCCCATTGGCCGAGATCACAGTAAAAGGTGAATTCCGAGGTAAGTTGGTCCTAGGTGGTCAACTAAGGGTGTACCCAAAATGAAGTGGATCCAAGGTGGTACATGTCATATGTGTTCTAACCTGAAGTGATTACAAAGTTAAAGTATACTTGGGAGGAGTACAAAAATATTCTAAGTATAGAATCATACAAGACAGTAAAGACAGAGACAAGCATTGAACACTTAGTCAAAAAGAGGACTTGCATTCAAAAAGACAATTTGTTCAGATACAAAAGAAGGCACCTCGGCCCAAAGCAAAACAAGATATCAATATGAAATCTGACTCCACCCTCAAATGATAGATACTACAGGGAAGGGCATATATGTCTCTTCAGGCATCATGGAATCCTCCTCCCCAGCCAACCTTAGATGAACGTCAGCTGGAATGAAAAATTCCTGACGGAAGTATTCTAGTTTATTGGAAAAGTTTACCCTCCATTTGAACATCTCCGTGACCTCGGCTAGGGTGAATTTGGCAAGGAAAGTTGGACTATGTGGGTTAAAGACCTCGGTGAAACCCTAAGGACTGTTGGGTTATCAGTTTTAGGGTTCTGAGGAAGGGTTGGGGGCAAAATTTGTTTTAGTTTTGCTAAGTGTAGATTCTAGCAAATCCCAAACCTACGTCTATGCAAATGTACAGGATTCAGAGGCAGTAATCTACTAACAAACAAGAACATACAGAAGAAACAGGTCTCAAAAACATGAAATAGTGATCAAAGAGTCAAGAACACGAGAAAAATAAAGCATTGATAGATTCAGGAAATGAACAAAGTTGATAGAATTCGATGACAGTGTGCTAGAAGATATGTGTCAAATATAGAAAAAAATGTGAAGATGGGCTCAAGAACATGAAGGACAAAATATGAGTAAAAGCAAGCGAAGGCATGTAGAACAATGAGATTCGAATATGAACACAAGATGGCAATGTAGATATAGATACAGATACCGTGTGTGATGTGTAACAATCCACAGAATGAATATATTTGAAAACAGTGGAGAAATGAAGTTAAAATAAAAGAAATCAAGGACTTACAAAGTGAAGCCGATGAAGTAAATGCCGGAAAAGGATTCGCTAGAGTCAAACAACGTTATGATTGGAATAGAACTGTTGAGTGCACGCCAGAAGTGGTGACCAGAGTTGTAATAGGAATGAATGCTTCAAGAATAGCGATGATGGTTTGTAGAGACCAAGAGAAAGAGAGTCTAAAGGCATTAGTAGACATGAAATGAGAAAATGAAAAGGTTCTGTTAGAATTAGAAAAAGATGGCAAAAAGTTATGATTTTGATTCCCGACGTGCCCGCGGTGACATCAAGCAACGGGGGGCAGAACTGATGCAACACAATGGGGACGTGATTGGTATGCTCCAATCTAATGATGATCTTGATTGAGAAATGCGATCTTAGTTAAGATATTAATCGCGGTTGAGATGTTGAAATTGGATAAGGGCAGAACTTGTTCATTTTTGGTTTCTGATGAGATGATACTAGGATCTTGATGTTCTTGAACTAGCAAGTCATGATCACTGCTAGTAATGTGATCTCTGTTGAGATGTTGGACCTAGATGAGATAGAACATGATGGTTCTTGATTCTTGATTCTTGATTCTTAATGATTGACGAGTGGACATATGAGTCCTTATTTCTTGGCGCCGACAAGTTACGATCTCGGTCGGAGGAGTACATGTATAGATTCCATCACCTCAGTTTACCGAGGTAATAGAACCTAGGGGGCAGTTGTGGAGACATATTTTTTGGTAGTCCACGTGGCCGAGGTTGTTAGCCGAGGTACCACGTGGGCGGACCATGATGCCAAGATATGGTGCAATAATACCAGAATCTAAGATATTTGGATAGATGACTAAAGTCCTAGATGATATCAAACTACCTATTTGGATATAGATGTGACTCTTGAAAAAGTTCATCTTAATCTGAATAGTGTGAGTTGTGATAGATGTTATCATTGTAAAGGATAGAATCCCATGAAGTAAGACTTTTAGGGGAAGTTAGACACTGACCATTATAAAAGTGAGGCACCCCCATGGGTCTAAGGTATACTTTTTATGTTCTGTCTAGTGAGTTAAGTACTATTTGTTATCTTTGAAAGAGATAGATTACTGACTTGATCGTCGGAGTGCTCCTAAGTAGACGAACCACCGCGATATTTTCATAATCTTGTTGGCAGGTGTTCGAGCATAATCTATTTTGCCAATGGTCTCCAACTGAGTTCCCCCTTTAATTATGTGATCGAAAATTAACACCCACAATTATATCACTATTATATTCAATATTTACTCCGTCCTATGTTTCTGATACCAAACTTTTGAACATCTTCAACAGCAATACATTTTATTTTTCATTAGTAACCACACCAAATGAAACCGTGACACGTGGGCAAGCGATAGCACTGCTGGCAAGGTTCATTTCTTTGACTAGACAGTCGGCGCCTGCACCAATACCTGGGACCCAGTGGGCTCAGAAGGAGGAACAAGACCCTTCTGAAGTGACTGTAACATGATGTCTCCTTTCTTCACCACCCAATTTTCTTCTTCATACAGTATCCTACTAGATTTGCATGGTTGTTGTTGGACAAATAAAAGAACAAGCAACGCTAATACAACAATAACCACCTCGGTTTTTCTTCTTGTTGTTGCTGTCAAGATGAGAGAGGAAACAATATTGGTGAATATCATGAAGGTGATAGCTTTAGAGAAAAATATTGAGAGGCTTATTGTTTTTGGTTTTTTTTTAATTTGTTGAAAGGTTTTGACTGTTAACTACTAGCTAGGTTTCTTGGATCTGTTAAAAACTCCAAATAATGAATGGGCCATGAGGAATGGAGGTTTTCAACTTGAATTGAATCCCATGGTTTTCTAGTTTTTGTAACTAACATAGATTGCTTGTGACTGTTAGTACGATTGATAATAAAATATATTAGGCTTTAGGAAGTTTCTTAACACTGCAGTTACTTGGGCTTCATAGATTTGAAGTTTGGTTTGAAGTGCTTGTGTATGTATAGTTTCTAAGAATATACATATATATATATATATATATATAATTAGTGTAAGAATACCCTTTCTAAATGCAAACCCCCCACCCCAATTTATATTTATACATGTGCAAATATAAAACATGGCCTATCAAGGTTGCCTATTTTTTTTTTCTCTTCTTCCATATATACGTGTAAAATGTAGTGTTTTATAACTTTTAACATAAATAAATGTTACTCTTTTCTTTTTGCTGAGCCACAAGGGAAAAAGGCCATATCAGAGTTGTACTGGTTTCTTTGTATATTGCACGTCTCTCTCTTTATACTGCAATCTCACTGTAAGTCAACGGGGATCAATGATCAAGTCTTGGATCCTCAAAAGTCATTTCTCATCCTCAAGACAGAGCAAGGTTACACTAAGACTTGGTTTGGGATACACTAAATAATACAAAAAGTCAAAAAATCACTATCTTATTTAAGTCACATCATCTTATTTAAATCACATCATCTCTCTAACACATCACATCAAACTCAACCCAAACCCAACCCAACCCATATAAGCCAACAAATCAAAAAATGTACTTTTTTAGAATATCCCAAACCAACCTAAGAGGAGTTGGGGCAAGGCCTGAGTAGGGTGAGGGCAGTGTTCCTAATGGGGGTAGTGTGGTGTAAGGAACTCATATCTTTCTCGTCGTCAACCCTAACCACTATCAATATATATATAAAATGTAACATAAAAAATAAATTAAAAAATCACCGTCCTATAAAAAAATAATAAAAAAATTCTCAAAATAAAATTCCTAAACCCTATCCTAAACAAAATCCTACTACACACAAAAACCACCCCCCAACCCCACCCTCCTGACCCGGCGAAGAAAGTAACTTAAGATTTTGAAATTTAAAGAAGATGACAGACAGCTTACTTTGCAAGTCCAGATTGACGATACCACCTGACGCAAAGAACACTGCCAATAAAAAAAAAAAAGAGGCACTTATATAAAAACAAAGAAAGCAGCACCATTCTTTACAAAATATTTTGTTACCAACGGGTTACAACCTCACTTTCAAATCTAAAGAGCAACACTTTCCCAAATAAATTATTTTTCAACTGATAATATCCCCCCCACAACTGATTTGCAGGCAATCTCTGGTCATAGTTTCTTTTCAATGCCCATTGGAAGGCCTGAATACAGTATAACCATTAACGCTGCACGCCAAGTTCGAATAGTCTGGAATATGATACGGGTACCCATCACCCTCCGTGTTCCTCAAGCTAAGAAGCGACAGATCAGAACCAGCCATCTGCCACTGGTTTGGAATCTGTCCGTTCACATAAGGCCGTGGATACGATTCCCGTAACGAATCAAAGTGGCTGCCTACATAGCCATAGCCACGTTGGAACCCGTCATCTTGGTAACTTCGCGTTCTCTCAAACTTGGAAGAGCTGGTTGAGGGGCCTGATTTGTCATTTGACATGCCAATATCCCTGGGGAAAGTGAACTGCCGATTTAGATGGTGAGGCCCGTTGCTGAAACTTTGAAAGCTCGTGCTTGCCCCGGCTGTCGATATGATTCCGTGTTCATCATCAAGAAGGTCATTGATTATGTCAAGGTGTGGAAAGTCATCAGTCAACAGACCATGGGTCGGACGTCCCGATGTACACGCAGAAAACTCGGTAGGGAAGTTATCCTGGGATCTGCTGTGTACAGGTTTGTAGAAATCAAGGTTGCGAATGTCATCGTGCGGGGAAGACGGATCATAGTGTATGCTTCTGCTGCTGTCCGGTCGCTCCATCCATTGGGATCCGCTCTGCAAAACATCATGATTAACCATTCCAAACACATCGTGATTTACCATTCCAAACGAAAGGCTTGGTTTTACCAAATTCGGTTCAGTCCTTTCAGAGCTCTGTGGTAAGAACATAGGTGCAGATACCAAGTTGGGGGGTTGTGTGTACAACTGTGACGAGCTTGAAGAATGAGGCTGAGCGAAACCAGTGGAACTTGCAGTAGCAGGAGTGCCCATTATAGCATTTCGATACGACTGAGGAGGAGCATAACTATGGGTTGAAGGTGAAGGGTCGGGACCCAACCGCCCAGTTGCACTCACTGAACGAGCTAGCAGCGGTGATGTTTGAACTATAGAAACAACTGGGGCTGATGGCCTAGGTCCAGGAATAATTGGAGCACTCAAGGGCCGGGACATGACTTGCGTTTGTTGCACTGAGGGCTTTTCAGCTAGTTTTGGAGCTGCAGCTTTATGTGTATCAGATTTTGATGGGGTCTTAAAATCAGAAGAATTTATCAGCAGAGCTGCTCTCTCCGCTTGTCGGGGGCTGTTTGAAGATGGTTTCCTAACTGAAACAGGATCAGGGGCAGCAGCGGTCTTTGATTCTGACTTCACCTGAACAGCGGATGGTGGATTTTTGGAAGGACTGCTGGAAGGGGAAGGCAATTCTGTTACCTTCTCTTTGGGAGGTCTTTCCACATCAGTTTGGTCTTTGATGCTCAGCTCTCTTCGCAGAGAAACTACTTCTTCTTCCTACAACACAGAAATGTAAAGCCCGTCACCACATGTGAAAATCCAAAATGAAGGGAAAAAAAAAAAATGAAGTAAATTTTTAGTATGAAACCAATACATCATATGTCCATTATTGATTGCAAGTTTTATGCTTAGATGCCGCGTGTGCAAAGCCCCTTAGTTTCATATCCTTGAACAGGATATTCATAACTTCAACCTATGTTACTTCGAACACAGATCGTTCCAGTACATGAAACAGTAAGATCTAAAATGTGATACTATAAAGGGAGGCTTGCACAGATTACACATAATAATGTAAGATACTTTTAGAATTATTTTCTTCTTTTAACAATTAGGCATCCAATAAAATGTATTTATTTTTTTTCAAATTAATCATGTAGCAACAGATTTTTATATGAGCATTATGAATCATTTTGACGTTTTGTCCTATCAAAACTTTACTTGGCTTACATTTGATTTTTTTTTTCCCCCCTCCAAAGGAAATCTTTAAAGATATATATTAGAAAAAATTTTGGATCGCTTTGGATCACTAAATTTACTGTTTTAGAGCATAAGTGTACCAAGTTTCGGAACATGCATTCTGAAAAGGTAATTCGCTAGGGTTTTAGCGTTTTCTAATAACACTAACTTGAGAAAAAAAGAAGAAGAAGAAGAAGAAGAAAGGTTAGGAATACCACCTTCTTCACCACATGCTGCTCAAGCTTCTTTATCCGATCCTGCAAGGAGTGTACAACAACCTCGGACTCTGATTCAGCCTTGCAACTTTCAGATGCATCATTTGGTTGTGCTGCATCTCCTGAAGGTTCTGGTGGAGGCATACGGACTTCATTGGCCAAACCAGTCGCATTGCAAGTTGCCTTGCCTCGCTGATTTCTTCCTCTACAAAATTGTAGCAAACCATATGAAATATAAAAATATTCATACCTGGGTGCTTAAAATGAACATAGTAGCTTCATCAAAAATAAAAAAATAAAAATAAAAGAAAGTAGTAGGATAAGTTTACCTGCTTGGTGATTTTTGTTTTTTGTGGTTTGGAAGTGAATACCCTTTATAAGACCCATTCATTACCAATGATGGAACCGAGTCTGTGGAACATGTCGATGAACTATCATCCACTACAGACGAACTATTTCTTTCTCTAATTCCATTTTGTCCAGCTGAAAGCCCACTCACTACACTACTACCGGCCTCTGTGGGAGGATGAACTTCTGATGTGTCCGTATCTCTGTCTTCTGAATCAGGCTGCATTTCAGGAAGACAATCTATTGAATCAGACACATCAGAATTTTCAAGCACGAGTTCTGCATCCTCGATCGTGAAATCTTTTCTTTCATCAGCAAGGCTTTCTTCTTGGAGGATGTCTTGGATTGCAACACCTGACTTGTCATCCCTTCCTTTATCCTTCACCTTGCGATTATTTCGTTTTTGCTTGCCCTGAATTGTAGAATAAATCAAAGATGTAGTGCAGCTGAATTCAAATGAAAGAAAGATTTACAAAATCTCTCCCTCCAACAAAATAGAAGTTTCATGCATAAGCAGCATACCAAGGATTAGTTAGTGTTAATTAAAGAGACAAGCCCAACCATACAACCAACAAAAAAATAAAGGCATAAAAAACCACAAAGCAAGAAGACGATAATTTTAAATACCAATAACAAATCGGACTCCTAATGGCCTGCAACTTGACATTTATCAGGAATATCAGCAGCCCTTGAATGAGGTGATATGACTCCCAAAAAACTCCAAAAATATTACCAAATGCATCATTTTTCTGGCCCCTTTTATCATAATTTTTTTTCTAATTTTAATAAACTAAATAATCAATAATACAGGATCCTGCCCATTATCTAGGCTAATCAAGACAGGAAAGAAACTTGAGCATCCGAGCCCCAAAACATCAAGGTTAGGAGAACACCCAGGTACCACTTGGCCTATAAGGGCAATGGTGAGAATATTTTTTGTTGTAAATGTGAGGCAAAACCAACCATATATAAATTTCCCATTTCTCCTAATTCCGCTCTTATTTTTGTGATGTAATATTTGACATACATGCTTATTCAATGTTACAGAACAATTTTTATAATAAAAAAAAAATGGCACTTACCACCTTATAAATATACCATATGATACCAAACATACATGCACCAAAGATTAGAAAATTGTCAACCATCAACTACATAACATCACAAGCCACCATAAACTAGAAATTGTCAACTGTAGACCATATATTTTTTCTATTCTCTTTTTATTTCATATATTTTTACTATTTTGCCATTGGTCCATTAGGTTTCCATCATGGTAATTGTAGGTTTCTCAAACCTTAGGGGTTTTTTGCCTGATTGCCAAACCACAGAGGAGGTAGGTGAAAGTCTCCTCTTTTTCTATCTGACTCACATAAAAATTCAACAAGTACTAGACAGAGAGATGAACTACACAGCCTCAGCCATTACTCATTAGGCATTACCCCAGGATTAAACAACACAAAAACTCTAAAAGACAATAAAAGATCAACAAATAAGAAACCCTACCACAAGGGGTTCAAAAGAAAATTTGAGCTTTATACTATAAAACCTTCTAGCTCTACTGATTCTTCTATTCCATCTAATAAATCCATTTAATAAAAATCTACAATTAAAACTAACCATGCAAATTACTCCGCATTCTTTCTCACCCCAAAAAAATAAAATAATAATACATAAATAGACAGTTTTATCCTTTCGTGGCTTGATTCACAACCTATAACAGTCTAATCCCAAGTTCATATATTCTCCCTGAGCCAACATATATTGGTTTTAGTCTCAATATGGTGGTACTTGAAACTCCTCTGCCCACCAGTCCAAAGACTGGCAATATAACATCTTCAAACCTATCGCTAAACAAGAACTTTGAAAAGCAACATAAAGTAAATGAAGACTGGAGGGCACTCGATTTCAGAGATACAACCTCTGCCCACTTTTTAGTCTCCCCTCCAACATGTCACGGCCTTCCTTGCACACACTCAAAAGCAAGCTAATATGACAAGAAGGAATCCCTCCCACTTTTCATCCAGGGTTACTGAGCAAAGAAACAGAGGATGCAACGACAATAAGCAAGCACATGCATGTCAGCTAAAAACCATATGCATCATAACACACTAATCACAATTGCTTCAAACCCAGACAAAAAACATGCAAAGCCAATTTTCTGACAATATGAACTTTGCTAAATCCCTTAAGAACATTAACTTATGTATAATTCTCAAACCTGCTTTTTCTTCGACTTTTTTTCCTTTTCAGCTGCACCACGTTTTGTTTTGAGCTCTGCTTCAGCCAGCCAGGCTGCCTCTTCTTCACGGATGAGCTCCTCTTGCCTTCTCAAAGCAACAGCCTCCTGGTATGCAACTTCAATTTTACTGCTAAAAAGAAGAAAATATGAGTAGAATGAATAAAAAATTGAAACAAGAAGCAAGATCAATCCGACATGTCAAAGATTGCAACACTAAAATCATACAATAACAAAATTGCAGTCAGAATACATCAATCCCTGGATTACATTAGTGTTATCACATCAGCCATTGGATACAATTAAGTTTTAACATGAAAATATCAAACAATTACTAACTTCACTAAAAACTACACTTGAAGTCAGGCACTTGATATTTCATTACAAAGAAAAGTTGATTGTTTAAAAGGTACAACTTAAGAGAGCCCTATTTTTCTTTTTGGTTGAAGAATTCTCCACTGTCCAGAGAAAAATACTTTATGCAAACACAAATATTTGTTCATTCCAAAAACACCAAAAAAACAGAAATTATCTGGAACACCAATTCTAATTTAACTATTTTAATGTAGTACACATTTGCTTTGGTGTGTTGAACAGCATGTGATCATCCAAGTTATGTGTCTAGCATGCCACATGTCATGCTTATTTTGAGATATTGGGCGTGATGTCAAAAGGCCCAATACAAAAATCCATCGGTACAGATAGCCAGTATAAAGGCCAACAATCAATGTGGCATATACTTTCAAACATTTCCAACTGTCTAAATGAAGTGAACCCCCAAAAAAAAAAAAAAAAAAAAAAAAAAAAAAAATTGGTATCTCTGAAACACAAAATCCATCGGATATTATTCCAATCAGGGGGGTTTTTTATATAAATAAATATCGTAATTGTATTGCTACATAAAAAATGGATCAGAAAAGCTCAGACACAAACTTCTTAAGTTTTCCCTCAGCAAAAAAGGCACTACTTGAAGCTTTAGCATGCAGCCTCTAATTCAAATTACCTCATAACATGAGACACAAGAAGTAGATATCCACTGCGTGCTATTAAATAAGAATCAACCACAGTTAACCGATTCCGCCCCACCCCCAAAGTAAACTTTATATTACAAAGAAACAGCTTAACGATGCACAACCAAAGTAATTGATTGTTGTCTAACTGGATTTATCTCCATAGCACAAAATTCATAAGAAACAGTTTCCTCAGCACTTTTACCAAGTGTAGGAAAGAGCAAAATTTGTGTGAAAATAGTAAATTAAGAAATTGAATGGAGTCAGATTATTATAGCAAGAATATGACATTATAGAAAAATGAGTAAGAGTTCCAAGATCAAGAGGAAGAGAAGTTTTTCGGCAGCAAACAAAATAAATAAATGGGTTACCTAAATATATGGGATAGGAAAAATATTTCAATAGTCCTGCGACCTAGTTCAGTAAGACGCCTTTCGTCACGCTCAATGGAATCCTTATTGAAGTCATCTCCAGAACCACCATCCTACAAGTAAGAGTTGCATAACCAGTGAATGAGTAGTGGACTAGAAATCGTCAATTCAACAACAAAAAATTAAGTAAATTTGTTGACAACATTGACACAGAATGAAAGCATAAGAACTTAACATTCAAGAAATTATGCATGATGTTTGCAAGATGTGGTTAAAGCAACCCAAAAAAATAAAGAAGACAAGTATATCCTAGTAGTACTCATTCATGAGCAGTAGTCATTAAATGATTTCACAACCTGTGCATCTGCTTAAATCCATAAAGAACCAACAATGAAAACAAAAAAAAATAAAAATAAAAAAAATAAGAGGAGCATAGAAACAAAGTAATTAACAGTGTGCAATGTAATTCACCCAATCCAACTCCAATAGTCGACCACACCTATATATTTGTAAATCTGAACCTCAAAATCCTTTAATTTCAAACCCCTTTATCCAAATGCAACCTACTAGTTTTTCTGTTTCATAAAGAATTATTTCTATCCCCAGGAACTACTGGGGTAGTGTGGATCTTGATAAGCATTGATCATTAATCACTTGACTCTAGTAGACAGTACCCCCTTGCCCAAAGGATGAGTTATGGAGCCTTGCCTCCTACCCATTTGATGTAAGGGTATGGTAGTTCCACACTTGTAACCAACTGCCTAATTTCATGTATTTATAGTTCAGGGAAGACAGCCATCTCTTGTAACCTTTCAGATCAAAGTGAAAACCGTAGCAGCAATGGGCATAGCCCTAATTTTGGGGAGAACCATGCAATTCTTGTGTTCATCGTGTGGGCATGTGATTTAACTTCCTTGTACGTTTGTTCATTTCTGTGTTTCGTGTTTTACCAATTGCTTAAGGTGTTATAGATGCCTAACCGTAGCAGCTATGGACATAGCCCTAGTTTTGGGGTGAACCATGCAATTACTTAATTCCACTTCATCAAAAAATATCAGACTGTCAAATTGTCAATCTACATTTCCCGAAGCTTAATACCACTTCATCAACAACTATAGCACTTAATGCTTTTCCAATACTTTAACATCACTCCACATTTAATTTTGAACCCAACAAAATTAGCTAAAAACCCCCATATAATGGCCCTGTTTGGTAGAGCTGTGGGAAAGTGCTTATAGCTTATGGCTAAACAGCTTATAGCTTATAACTTTCAGCTTAAGCTGATTTCCAGCTTATTCTTAAAGCATCTCCTGCCCCACTTAAAGAATAAGCTGTTTTCTGACTTCCACAAAGCTATAAGCTATAAGCTATAAGCTAAACCAAACACATCAAAATAGCTTAAATTAAGCTGAAAGCTGAAATAAGCTGAAATTAAGCTGTACCAAACAGGGCCAATATAAGAGTTCCAAGAGAACCCTCTTACGCCCAAAGTCTCAGCTAGCAAAGAATTCCCAAATAAGTATGGAGAAGATAAGTGTAGTGGATATTAACCTTCAGAGGCTTATTGCTTCAAAAAAATGAAATGTTAAAATATAAATAAATCAAATCTTACAGCTTTTTGGGTTTATTTGGTAAGTGGTACACTCGTACCCATTTCCCAATTGTGGCTTGAACCCTGCAGCTTTGAGCAAAAGATACGATTCGAGCTAACAGCTTGTGGTTATATTAAATCATTACCTTTTCTTATCCTATACCTAATAATTATTAATTTAAAAAGCAGAAAGTCTTCAGGCAGTTTTAAATTTGTACACTACAAAGAACCAAAAAAATCGTAGAAACAACAATTCCATAAATTTTTTAACACCATGTTCTTGTAGCTCACCTTCATACGGTTCTGTGGACCCTTATCATCCTTTGGAGGCAAGGGTTCCACGGCAGCCCTCTCTAGTAGTAATAATACATCATCCACCAAAACAAACAACTCTCTCTCTATGCAAACAATAGGAACTGACAATTCTTCTGCATCCAGTGACTTTCCCCTACCTTTCTTGCTCTTGGTCTGGCCTTCAAGAGCCTTCAGTCCACTGTACAAGGAATCCATTACCAAGGTAGACGTGACTTCCTTTTCTATGAAGAAGTTCTTTACAACAACTCTCAAAATTGCATCTGTTTTCTCCCTGGACATCCTACGCCTAGCATCTTGGTCAATGCCTAGCCAGAAAGCACAAAAGCTGCACCCATCACAAGTTATTAGTTATTTTGGAATTAATAATACACTGTCTGAAAATGGCTTTGAAACAGATTGTTTTTCATGCAAGAACATGTCAAATTAATTGGACTACAATCATGAAAACAGACCACCCCTACCTTGACCATCTAGCTTTATCTTCTATCAATTTCCCGAGCTTGCTTCTTCTCTCTTCGACAAAACGCCGACAAATTTGCTCCACATTTGTCAAATATACCCGAACAAGTTCTCTCCTATACTGACAATCAAGACAGCGAAAGGGACGATCTGCTCTCTCCCTACAAACCAAAAGCATAACTTAGCATCAGTTATCACAATGATTGACCCCAATCAATACCAGTAAGAACAGAACTGCTCATTCATTTAACCAGAATGAAATCTAAAGGAAGGGGAAATGACTTTGCTGGAAAAGTATTTACAGAGAAAAGGGTTTCTCAAAAATAGTTATGAAAGAAAATCATTGCAGGAGATGCAAGGGTTTTTTTTTTTTTTTTTTTCCTTTGTTTGTTACTAATAAAAAAATGAAAATGATTAAACACAAACAAAAATGATAACTACTAAACAAATGTAAAACTAAAATATACATACATACATACATTAACATAAAAAGTGAAAAAAAAAATTCTTTGAAACAAGAATGTTTAAAATAAAAGGAATCTTAATCTTTCACCATTGTTTAATCTACACGGAAACAGTACTTACAATAAGACAACAGGAAGCATTATATGGTTCAACCAAGAAACTTTATCAGAAACACAACAAAATAGATACACGTATCCCAAAGATAGTGTTGCACTTGAAACATACAACAAAAGAATCATAGTTCAACCAACTCAAAAAATCATAGTCCCAATCCAACCATTGAGGAATCAACAACATAAGTCCAATTTCACCAGTCCACTCAATCAAGGACCAAAATTGATCACCTTAAAGTTGAAAACGAAGACTACGAAAATTATCACATGGGTTATAGAACTCATCAAAAAAGGTGAACAGGTACGTAGCTTGTGATCTAAGAAGTACTAACACAGGCAGTGAAGCAACACTCAATATAACAATTCCCAAAACAAAAAAATAGGCCACAACACGTTGGAAACACATGCAAAATATACGGTTGCGTTTGGTAGAACTTTGTAAATATGATTTGAGAGTATGAGCTGTATTTTGAATTTGTGAGTTTTAAAATTATAATTTGAGTGTGGAAAATTTGTTTGGTAAAAGAGTTTTGAAAAGAGTTTTAAACTGAGTGGGGAATTTTTGATGTGACATATGATATTTGATACAAAAACTTACAACTCATAACTAAACATACAAATCAAAATTCTATTAAAGCACATAAAAAAAATTTAAAATTCGAAAAATATTTTTTTCGAATATATAAAAATTAACATATGTCAAATGCAAAAAATAAATAAATAAATAAATAAATAAATCCATTGTTCCGATCAACTGGTGGGACATCCAGTGGAACGGCCGGTTAGGCCAAATTTGAAAATTTTTTTTTTTAACAACGCGCCCTAGACAGAGTTTTCAGCAGAGTTGTGGAAATGTGATTTGAGAGTTCCAACCAAATATCATATTGGAATATGGATGTAGAATCATTGTTTAGAAACACAACAAAACACAACCTATAATTTTACATAAATAAATATTTAAATCAAAGATATTAAAAAAAAAAAAAGAGCATAACACTAATTCTAAAGTTTAGGGGAAGAGGGATTAATAGGCATAAATCTACATTATTTTTCTTTTACCATTGGATACTAATTTATTTTATTCAAACTTGGTGCCATTTGGTAATACTTACGTTTTCAGTTTTCAATTTATATTTACAAAAATTTTAAAAACTTAAATAAAAACTCATTTGGTAAATTTTTGATTTATAAATCATTGGTCTCAGATTATAAATTTGGCCAAAAAATGTAAACTCAAAAAATGTGTTTCTGTTTTGAGTTTTCAATTTTTTTTTTTACCACCCAACACTAGCCACCACCCGCCACCATTTTCCACCACCGTCTTCCGCCACCACCCCCCACCACCCACCCACCCGCCACCAGCTACCCACCACCCACCGTCACCACTTTTCACCACCGTCTTCCACCCCCCGCCACCACCACTTGCCATTTCTCACTCTTTTTTATATTTTTAAATTTTTTTAAATATTTTGTCTAAACCAAACGCGTTTGTAGTTTATGTTTTTCTAAAAATAAACAAAAACCAGTTTATAAAATTTTTATAAATATAAACTGAAAACGTAAACGTTACCAAACAGAAATGTGTTTCATGTGTGTCTACGTGATTGAAATGTGAAGACATTTAAAAAAAGGAAGAAAAAGAAAAAAGAACATTTAAACAATTCTTGACAGTTAAGATTTCCTATGCCAAAGTTAACACGTGAGGAATATCATCCCAAGTCATATTTCATTGGCTCCAAGATTAACATGATTTATTAAGATACAACTCATAAAGCACCTGATAACTTGGACTTGAGCTTTAATAATAAGAGTATCAGCATCAATAAACCCATCTAACACTTTAGATAGCTCCATAAATTTCTTCCATCCCCAATCATGCTCTTTCTTCCAAAATCGATGCAATGTATCTGCAAAATTCACTTATAATATAAGACATTAATGCTGAACTAATTAGAACCAGAAACTCCATTACAGCAACTTTGCCAATATATAACCAACCAACCAGAATATTTAGATTTCTTTGGATCTTTATTCACCACGGCTATGGTAAATTGTGCGAAATGACTCCATCCTGTTTTAACCAAAAAAAATAAGAAAAATGAGATCATATAGAAATAAAAAATAATAATTTGATTATCAAGGCAAATTATAAATCATTATTATTAGCATACCTGGAAGAAGCTTCTCATGATTAGCCACACAGAGAAACAAAGAGAGATGATTACAGACATCACAACCTTGAGGGTAAATCAAAATGTACCTGTCACCATAGGAGGAAGCTTAAATTAGAGCAGATGAAGTCACCATAGGAGGAAGCTTAAATTAGAACAGATGAAGTGCAACAGTTTTCCAAATCAAAATCACTGATACAGCAACCAAGAGCATGCCCTTAACAAGAACAAGGACACAGTTCTAATCTGAGTACAAGAACCTCAATCTTTGAAATTTAAAATTGCCCAAACTTATTTATTTTTTATAATGATTGAAGAGGTATTCAAAGGAGCCAAATAAAGGGGACGCAACACAATACACACGACTTATATAGATGAAAACAAAAATCTATTAGTATCATATAATCCTACAATCTATAGAATATACAAACTCCCTCAAAAAGTCAACAGAAGAAATTAATAAAAAGGAAAAGTTTCTCTAAGCCAAAAATACACAATGACAAGTATTGTTTCCATCAAGCAATGAATTGCGTTCTTTACACCTTCAAAATATCTTATATTCCCTCCACACACACCATATCAAACATAAAGAAGCAACCTCCGAAACCTACGTATGACAACCCCAAAGACAACCTCTGCTCCAAGAGACAAACAGCTGGCCATTGCTGGATAGCATGATATACATTATTGGCCCACTCCTAACTTCTTAAGCTTTGGGGATAATTGGTGATCTAATCTAACCTGGTATTAGAGCTTAAGTTGGGAGAGATTTTGGGTGCAAGTCTCTCCATTTGCATTTGACCCCCATTTGCATTCTTTCTTCTCTCGTTTGCATTCTTTCTTCTTTGTATGTACGGATGTCTACACGTCCACATGCAACATCTCAACTCCTTTTTTGCCCCATAGAAAGTAATAGTATCATCAGCAAAAAACAAGTGCATCACTAGCATCATCTCACCCCCTCTATTTCTGACCTCAAAGCTAGTCAACCTAACCATCTGCTACCATCCTTCAAGTCATTAGGCTAAACACCTCCATGATAATGACAGAGAGCAGTGGAGAAATAAGGTCTTCCTACCTCAACCCCTCGCAGCTTTCAAAAAATCCATTAGTTTGCGTTGACGATCACAAAAACCTTCATGCTATAAATGCAAAATGGTATTCACCTTGCCCAAACTTTTGTCAAGAATGAAGCATAAGTGAACAAGTAGGTCTAAGTTCAATTTTAATTTTTAGCCAAGCATTTTCAAAGCCATTACAAACCTAAGAACCAAATCAGATATGCAAAATGTGATGTAACTCGTGTTGGCATGTCACAACACATAAGCATTCACTTGTTATATATAATCAGAACAAAATTTGTGCCCATTCAAAATAAGGTCAGATGCAAATCCAGCACATGAGGTAATAACATGATCATGTCTTCCGTTAAATTAAAACTATCCAACAGTCTTTAAGAACTTGAAACTGAGCATAATGGACTTAAACTAACCCAAGAGCCACGTGTATGCTGATGCATGAATGTATGAATCTGCACAAGTCTACATAATTTTATGCATGAATTTGCACAAGTTCACGTAAATAGATGCATACCACTACCGTAAATAACTGAACAGATTTTTTTTTTTTTTCTTTTTTCTTTTTGAGTAAAAGAATGGTTGCAGCTGAAGAACATAGCATTGCGTTTCAAGAATGTGTTCCTCAATAATGAGAAGCCATGATATCAACAACCATAAAATTAAACAAATAAATAAATAATCACAAATAAGAAACCAAATACAAACAAGGCAAAATTCATGTTCTACAAACCATTTGTAGCCACCGACTTCAAATGCATTACTACGAAGTTCTCTCTTGTTAATCTGTGAAAATTTATCTATCTTCCATGTGTATTTTCCATATAACTCAGGAGGTTTCGGTCCTGTAAAGTAAAAAAAAAAATACCTAAATTGAAGATAACCACATAACAGATACATAATTTGACAAAGCATATACTCATCAAAAAATAAAACTAGTAATTTGACAAGCTGATATGACAGATTAATGAAAATCAATGCAAAAAATTGAAAGTAGTTTTAAGTCATTCATAAGACTACCACCTCAATACTAATTTCAGATAGTGTTTCATTTTGTATATCTACTTTGAGATTTCTTTGAATAACACCATTCATCAGTTGGAGACTAACATAGAAACAAAATTACAGATCCTGCACATGGAAATATGTGTGGCTATAATATATACAAAGAGGTAGTTAAAGTTTAGTTTTCAGGAGAGGGTTATAGATAACTAGTACGTAGCCAGACACTTGGTACCACCAATACTTCTTGTGGCTCATGGTAAAACCATACTATCGATAATTTGATCTTGTCAACTGGTGCTGCATGTGTAAAATGGAGTGGAACGGTAGATCATCTTCTTATTCATGCTGTGTGGCAAGAGAGCTCTGATGTGATTCACTCTTGATTTAATGTGGAGTGGGACTTTCACTTTGGATAGTTGGCGGAAGGCTATAGTAAGGAAGATGAGAAATTGTGGATTTAAAGGGAGAGAAAACGTAGGTCTCTTGATGGCATTGAAGTTTCCATTATATAAGATGAAAAGTTCATTTGGTAAGGGCTTTACTCATGTAAAATATGAGCATTCAATAACAATAACTTGACAATTCCAGAACAAATTATATAGCATGTGCAGACATAATTTACAAAAACCAGCTACTTGCCAGCCGCAACTGACTTTGTGACTGTGACTGTTTGGTCCCCCACAATCAAGTATGATTTTCTTCTTATAGTCTACCAATTCATAGCAAAAACTTCACTTCAAACCAAGTAAAGAAATAGAAAATGTATCTTCATTTCAGTTAACAATATACTTAGCTTTGATTACTTCTAAAATATTCAATGAAGCCAAAGCCCAATAATAGGTCCAAAATACAGAGGAAAATACCACAACTGTGATCACCCTTCTTAATGTTTTTTCATATATATTACAAAAGTACAGAAAAAACCAAAAAAGCATAGTGCAAAAGATTGAAGAAGACAAACAGCCTACCACAGTCGTCGTCATCATCCGTGTCCCAGTAAGGGGGAGAAGTTGATGGTATTCCATTTTCCACCTGCTCAGAAGACCGCCATTCAATCAATGCTTCCCCAGTTTCACACTGTTGCTGGTCGCTTGAAATTCCCTCCAAAGACCTTCCAACTCCAGACTCACTCGAAGAAATCCCAGCCATTTCCCACTCCGCTACTCCCTCCACACTCCTCCAACTTCACCTGCGAGACAAAAAGTAAAACCATTAGGGGGAAAGAACAGCAAATGCCATTCTCCACCCTTCTCAACAATGACATCCAAGAACCCAATAATGGAACCATGTTCATCAAAATGTCACCTTTCCAAAAACAAAATATGAAAAATCTCCTCAAGTCCACGCATTTCCAATTCTCCAATTAACAGATTCAAATACATAAATTCGACCAATGCATACATTAATTTCCCAAACCCACCTTCCAAAATTCAGACTCAAAAGCCATATCCAAAAACAAACATTCCAATAAACCCTAATTTTACAAACATTGTGAAACTCACAAAATCAAGCTGAACAACGAATTAAATACTAAAAAATCAAAAAATAACAGAGAGTTCAGACAAACCCAATAAACAAAACCATGTAAACGAAACAAATTCAACGAAACAGTCATCAATCAACAGACAATCCATCGCAGTTAACAAAGCAGATCGCCCATGTAAAATCCCCAAAACCAAAACCCTAAACGCCCAAACAAATATCAAACACAAAAAAAAAAAAAAAAAAAAAAAAAAAAACAATTGAAAAAAAATTAAAACCAGAGACAGAAATTAAAAATTTATAGATCGAGCGAGCGAGAAAAGAAACCTGAAAACAACTAACTTAGCTTCCCAAACGGCGCGAACGGAAGCTGTTGGTGAGGCTACAGAGAAAGTGATAGAGAGAGAAGAGAGGGAGAAGAGAAACAGAAAGACAAAAAAGAGAAATAGAAAGAGAGAGATTTGAGGTCGCACGATCAGCACTGCAATTAATTTTTTATTTATAATATGAAATTATATATAATATGTAATTTTTTTTATTAATTTTTTTTCCAAGAATCAATGAAGAGGAGACATGAAAAAAATGTAGGTTGTTTTTGGTAGGGTTTTGAGCTTGTGAGTTTTAAAGTTATGATTTGAGCGTAGAAAATTTGTTTGGTGAAAGAGTTTTGAAAAGAATTTTGAATTTGGTGAGATATTTTTGATGTGATATTTGATATTTGATAAAAAAAATTTACAACTCATAACTAAATATACAACTCAAAATTCTATTAAAACACATAAAAAAATTTTAAAAATTCAGAAAATATTTTTTTTGAATATATAAAAATTAACATATCAATTGCACAAAAAAAAATTGTACTGTTCCGGTCAACCCGTGGGACGACCGGTTAAGCTAAATTTTGAAAAAAAAAATTAAAAATCACGCACTCAAATAGAATTTTTTGTAGAGTTGTGGAAAATTAATTCCATATACCTATTCAAACATCATATTCAAATGTGGGAGTAGAAAACTCGTTTGGAAATCGTTCCAAACACAGTCGTAATTTTTATACGCATTGGGTATGTTTAATTGAACGGATTGGATAAAAAGGGCTTAAAATTTATTAAACTTGAATGCTGACACTGTGAATCCTCCGGACTATTTAGTTAAATTGGATGTGTATCTCGTGTTTGTTTTCTCATGCAATTAGATGTCTGAAAAAATTATTTTTAGTAAATTCAATATTTGCTTGGACGGACTGGATAAGGATAAATGAATAAAAGGCTATCTTACTATTTTTCAATTGTTTACTAAATAAGTGTAATATTAAACATATTTTTAATATTTTAAGGGGTTGTTTGGGATGACCTAAATAAGTGCATTTTTTGTCTTTTTACGAAAAAATGTGCAAAAAAGTAGAGAGGTGGTGTGATGAAAAAAAAGATAAAAAATATAAAAATATGAATTATTTTGGTGCTGCCAAACTTGGCCTAAGGCCCTGTTTGGTAGAGCTGTGGGAAAGTGCTTATAGCTTATGTTTAAACAGCTTATACCTTATAACTATGAACATAAGCTGATTTCTGACTTATAAATTAAGCATCTCTTGCCCCAGCTGATTTTTGACTTCTAAAAAGTTATGAGCTATAAGTTATAAGCTAAACCAAACACATCAAAATAACTTAAATTAAGCTGAAAGCTGAAATAAGCAGCTTTTAAGCTGCACCAAACAGGGCCTAAGTATTTTTTGCTAGATTAAATAAAAATTATTTTATTTTTTTTTTTACACAATTAAATAAATTTATTTTTTTTAAATTAAATAAATAAAATATCAATAAAAATATATGTTATTTTTTTAATTAAAATTTTAAATAAATTTATTTTTAAAAATAATATTTACTAAATAATGAAATTAAATAAAACATATATTAAATTTTAAATAATGAAATTAAATAAAATATAAAAAAATTATAATAAAACATCAATAAAATATCTATAAAATTTTATTTTAAAAAATTAAATAAGTAAAACATTAATAAAAAGTTAAATAAAATTATTTTATTTTTAAATTGAGACATTTAGGCTCTGTTTGGTAGAGCTCTGGAATAGATTTGAATATAGCGTTTGTTTACGATTTTCAAAAATTAATTTTACACTCACTTTTAAAAACACGGTTGAAGGCAGGAAAATTTCGACGAACCGGACGTCCCATCGGTCGTCCGGGCGATCAACCAGAACAGTGTAATTTTTTTTTTTTTAATTGACACGTGTTAATTTTTATATATTCAATAAAAAATATTTTCCAAATTTTTTTAAAAAAAATTATGAGTTTTAACTGAATTTTGAGTCGTGTGTTTGGTTATGAGTTGTAAGTTTTTGTATCAAATATCATATGACACATCAAAAATTACTCACTCAATTCAAAAATCTTTTCAAAACTCATTCACCAAACAAATTTTCCATACTCAAATCATAATTCCAAAACTCACAAACTCAAAATACAACTATATTCTCAAATCATATTTAGAAAACTCTACTAAATGCAACCTTAAATTTTAAGTTTTACTAAATATAATACATAATTAAATAGTAGATGATCAAAATAGTCATTTCACCACCTAATCTCATGAGATTGTTATCCCATAAAAATTGTCCCACACCCGCCGGACAATATAATCCCACATATGGGGATAAGGAGTTCGACTGAACTCCATGTCCGGCGGACTAAAAAAAAACAAACACCAAATAAAAAACTTCTAATGAATTACGATCCAATCCCACACCCTAATCATTTCAATCAAACACCTCCATTGTGTTGCTTGAATTTTATTTTCTAAATAAAAATTTAAAAATAATTATTCTAATATTCAATCATTTATATAAGAATAATGGTTTTTGTTTAAAAATTCATATCAAAATTACGTAAATGATATTATGAGATTCTCTAAGGTGTAGAAGAGCATTTCCAACATTGTATCTTTTTTTTATTATTATTAAATTTGAATAAAAACTCTATTTGATATCACGGGCTTTAACGAAGGATTTTAAACTTTCATCACAACACTGGTTGACTGGCCCAATGACTAGGCAAATGTCCGGCCAGTGGACCAGCCAATGTAATTTTTTCACAAATTTTTACAATGAGTTGGTCACATCCAAGAGACAACTAACCTAGCATCCGGCCGGTCATTCGGTGATCAAGATGACCTGTAGCTCCAACGGTTATGAATAGTAATTTAATGAAAGGCACATCTGTCCTCAATTTGATGAAAGATTTGAGAAATTATAGATTTAATACTTATTTAGTGATAGGATTAGAGCAGTAAAAGGCACTTATTTTTATCAAATTTAAATTTGATAAAACAAAATGTACTGGATTAGAGATGGTTTAGGTAGAAATTCCAAAAACAAATCAATCTTTAACCCAATGGGTTGTGGCATTGTGGTAAGGCCTTGGGGTTTATGCCCCAAGGTCACAAGTTCAATTCTCCCCTTGGGCCAATCTCCTGGGCGAAACACTGTTGGTTAGGAGGTTGGACCTCAAGGATGCCTAATCAGTTACTTGGTGTGGGTTTAATGCTCCCCCACTGTGCGAGTCTTGACTTAATCGAAACTTGCCTTGGGAGGTCGGGACAAGCTTCCAGGTTATAGTCTCTTATTTTGAACGGACAACAGGACACCCTGGTGATCTCCTCATGGGCGGCCTTAGACCTGCGGGAGGATGGGAGGATTTCCCTATAACAAAAAAATAAAAATAAAAAACAAAAAATAAAAAAGAAAAATAAGGAAAAAATAAAGGCAAATAAATAAATATAAAAAATGTATTTATGTGAATTATTTTATATAGATTGGGCGGTGGTAACGTGGGGGGCAGAATTTGGGCTGGTTTTAATACTTGACTTGGTTAGGGTTGTCTTGAACTCTAAAAACGTTTGATTTGTTGGCCACACATTTTGTGGACCCTACTTGAAATTAGGGTTTTTTAATCTCTCATGTTCAAGTAGCTTGATTAGATTTTGGTTGCTTCTATTTATCTCCTAATTTTAAGTTAATATATTTTTTTATTACAATATTTTTCTTTATGGATTTACATTTGAGGACTAAAAAATTATTCTTTAAAAATAAAAGTAATTTATCCATATAATTTCTTCCTCCAAACTCTAAGACAAATCAAATTTAGGATAAATTATAACTTAAGCCCCTATGATTTACCCAAAAAACACGGAACTCCCTATAGTTTCATTTATAACACTTAAACCCCTATATTTCATACCAAAATGCAATTTTGAACAAACGTAACAGAAATTGTAAAAAGTCTAAATTATCCTTATTTATTTCTCTAATTTTCTTCTTAATGCCATTACAAATTAGAATATTCTCTGATTTTTCTTTAAATTTTTTGTATTCCTCTTCTTCTTCTTCTTACTCATCCCATGGCAAACCACACACCTCTCATACCATCATCAAATACACATCCGCATATCTCTCTCTGTAGAATTTAGACCCAAACAAATACTCATCTCTCCCTCTCTAGAATTAAAATTATACATATATATGATATACATAATAACTGATATATATAATACATATATGATACATATTTGATATATGATATATGATATATGATATATTTAATACATAAATGATACATATGAAAGAATTGATGGGTAGTTTCAATTATACATATATGATATATATATATATATACATGCATATTAACTGATATATATAATACATATTTCAACAGTTATCTTGTATAAGGAAAACTGATCTTGTATTATTTCGTATCTCTCTCTCTCTCTCTTTCTCTCTCTCTCTCTCTCTCTCTCTCTCTCTCTCTCTTTATATATATATATATATATATTCTCTCTCACTGTAACCACCATCATCACCACCATTGCCCAGTGCCATCAAAACCAAGAACCACCCTTTACAAAGTGCTATAGATTAAGCAACAGAAGCAGATAGATGATGAAAAAGAAAGAAATAGATTTGGAGATGTTTCTTTGAAATGTGTAAAGTTAGTTTTCGGACAACTTTTGGTATGCCGAAACCACCCATTTCAGAAAGAAGTGAGAAAACGAGGTAGCATAGGATGAAGTATAAAGCAAGGTGAGGAGATTATTGAAAGAATGAGATAAAATCGTTAAAAATCGAGAAAATTATGGAGTCTGAAAGATGGGCCAAAGAAATGTCGAAAACGGGCAGAAAAATGTGGGTTTGGTTGGTATGAATCTTATCAACGCTATTTCAAAAATCTAAATGTTTACACATATTAATTGTTTAATTTCATGGGTCAGGTTTGTTACTAATTTAAATTATAAGAAGAAAGTGGGTTTGGATAATTTTTAGAGAGAGAAGTTGTGGTAGTGATTTTGAGTGGTGGTTTTGCATGGAATAAGAAGTTGGTTGTGGTTTTGCATAGAATATGATGGTAGTGATGTTGGTTGGTTATGATTTTGCATGGAAGATGATGGTAGTGAGATGAGAGGAGAAATAAAAGGTGA